TTTTTTTTTTTTTTTTTTTTGCTCAGAATTGCTTTGGCTATGCGTGGTCTTTTTTTATTCCATATAAATGTCTGGATAGTGTTTTCCATTTCTGAGAAAAATGTGATTAGAATTTTGATGGGGATTGCATTGAATTTGTATATCACTTTGGGTATTATGGACATTTTCACAATGTTGGTTCTTCCAATCCAAGAGCATGGGATATCTTTCCATCTTATTGTGTCCTCTTTAATTTCTCTCAATAATGGTTTATAGTTCTCTTCATAGAGATTTTTCACATCCTTGGTTAACTCTACTCCTAAGTATTTTATTTTTTTGGTGGCTATTGTAAATGGACAAGCTTTCTTGATTTCTCTTTCTGCATGTTCACTATCGGAGAATAGAAATATTACTGATTTTTGTGTTTTGATTTTGTATCCTGCTACTTTGCTGAAATCATTTATCAACTCCAAGATTTTTTCTGTAGAGGCTTTAGGCTGTTCAATATATAGGATCATGTCATCTGCAAACAGGGACAGTTTGACTTCATCTTTTCCAATCTGGATGCCCTTTATTTCCTTCTCTTCTCTGATTGCTCTGGCTAGTACTTCCAACACTATGTTGAATAGGAGTGGTGAGAGTGGGCATCCTTGTCTAGTTCCTGTTCTTAAAGGAAAAGCTTTTAGCTTTTCCCCATTCAGGATGATATTGGCAGGGGGTTTATCATATATGGCTTTAGTTATGTTGAGATACTTTCCATCTGTACCTAACTTGTAGAGAGTCGTTATCATGAATGAGTGTTGAATTTTATCAAATGCTTTTTCAGCATCTATAGAGATGATCATATTGTTTTTGTCTTTGCTGTGGTCCTTGTGTTTGATTTTATTAATATGGTGTATCATATTTATTGAGTTGCATATGTTGAACCAACCCTGCATTCCTGGGATGAATCCCACTTGATCATGGTGAATAATTTTACAAATGTGTTGCTGTATTCTGTTTGCTAGTATTTTAGTGAAGATTTTTGCATCTATATTCATCAAGGATATTGGCCTGTAGTTTTCCTTTTTGTTGTTGTTGTTGTATCTTTGTCTAGTTTTGGTATCAGGGTGAAAGCTTTTCCCCTAAGAACAGGAACAAGATAAGGATGCCCACTCTTGCCACTCCTATTCAACATAGTGTAATTCCTCTTTAGATGTTTGGTAGAATTCTGCTGTGAATCCATCTGGTCCTGGGCTTTTCTTTGTTGGGAGCCTTCTGATAACAGCTTCAATCTCTTTTATTGTTATTGGTCTGTTCAGATTTTCTACATCGTCTTGGCTCAGTTTTAGTAGTTTGTGTGTGTCCAGAGATTTATTCATTTCCTCCAGATTTTCAAATTTGTTAGCATGTAGTTGTTTATAGTAGTCTCTAATGATTTTTTATATTTCAGAGGTATCAGTTTTAGTATCACCTTTTTCATTTCTAATTTTTGTTATTTGGGTCTTCTCTCTTTTTTTTAGTTAGCCCTGCTAATGGTTTGTCAATTTTATTTATCTTTTCAAAAAACCAACTTTTTGATTCATTGATCTTTTGTTTCAGTTTTTGGGTTTCAATTTCATTCAGTTCTGCTCTGATCTTAATGATTTCTTTCTGTCTGCTATCTTTGGGTTTGGATCGTTCTTGTTTTTCTAGTTCTTAAAGGTGAGGTATTAGGTTGTTCACTTGCCATCTTTCCATTCTTCTGAAGCAAGCATTTAATGCGATAAGTTTCCCCCTTCATACTGCTTTGGCAGTATCCCACAGGTTTTGGTATGAAGTATCATTGTTTTCATTAGTTTCAATAAATTTTTGATTTCCTGTTTGATTTCTTCTTGGATCCATATGTTATTAAGTAGAATGTTGTTTAATTTCCATGTGTTTGTATAGTTTCCAGAATTTCATTTGTTATTTATTTCTCATTTTAATCCATTGTAGTCTGAAAAAATACATGGGATAATTCCAATTTTCTTGAATTTGTTGAGACTTGATTTGTGACCTAACATGTGATCTATCCTGGAGAATGATCTATGTGCTGATGAGAAGAATGAATTTTCTGAGTTTGTTGGATGGACTGTTCTGTAGATATCTGCCAAGTCCAATTGGTCTAGAGTGTTGTTTGGATCTTGTGTTTCTCTGCTGATTCTTTGCCTTGATGATCTGTCCAATATTGAGAGTGGGGTATTCAGGTCCCGTGCTATTATGGTATTAGTGTCTATTTCCTTCTTTAGGTCCAATAGAGTTTGCTTTATAAATCTGGCTGCTCCAACATTGGATGCGTATATATTTATGATTGTTATGTCTTCTTGATGGATCAAACCTTTTATCATTATGTAGTGGCCCTCATTATCTTTTTTTATGGTTTTTAGTTTAAAGTCTATTTTCATCAGATGGAAGAATAGCTACTCCAGCTCGTTTTTCTTTTCTATTTGCATGGTATGTCTTTTTCCATCCTTTCACTCTTAGTCTATGTGAGTCTTTATAGGTGAGGTGGGTCTCTTGAAGGCAGCATATAGTTGGGTCCTCCTTTTAAATCCAGTCAGCCAGTCTGTGTCTTTTGATTGGGGAATTTAATCCTTTTACATTAAGAGTTGTTATTGAAGAGTGTTGATTTCCTCCTAGCATTTTATTGATTTTTGTTTGGATATCTTAGGTGTCTTTTGTTCCTTTCTTTCTGATTTACTATTTATCGGTTCCTTGGGTTGTAGATAAACTTTTTTTTTCTCTTCATTGTTGGCATTTTTATTTTGCTAGTGGGTTTTGATTTTTCTTGAGTTTTTGTGGCAGTGGTAGTTATTTTTTCGGTACCAAACCCAGTACTCCCTTGAGAATTTCTTGTAAGGGTGTTTGTGTGGTAGTGAACTCCTGCAGTTTCTTTCTTTCTTTTTTTTTTTTTTTTGGCTGAGAAATAAACTATTTGCCCTTCATTTCAGAAGGATTGCCTTTGGGTAAGGTATTCTTGGCCTGCAATCTCTGTCTTTTAGTATTTTGAATATATCATCCCATTCCTTTCTGGCTTTTAGGGCTTGTGATGAAAAGTCTGATGTTAGTCTGATTGGGGCTCCCTTATAGGTGATTTGACACTTCTCTCTTACAGCTTTTAAGATTCTTTCTTTGTCTTTGAGTTTTGCCAATTTGAGTATAACATGTCTTGGAGAAGACCTTTTTTGGGTTGAATACAGTTGGGGCTCTTTGAGCTTCCTGAATCTGAAGATTTGTGTCTTTTCCTATACCTGGGAAGTTTTCTGCCACTATTTTGTTGAATATGTTTTCAATGCAATCTCCTTTTTCCTCCCCTTCAGGAATACCCATAACTCGTATATTTGAGTGTGTAAGGTTGTCTCATACCTCTCTTAGATTTTCTTCAATGTTTTTAATTCTTTTTTTTTTTTTTTTTCCTGCCTGTGTTATTTCAAACAGCCCATCTTCAAGGTCAGAAGTTCTTCTGCTTCTGTAAGCCTGCCAGTTAAACACTCTGTTGTGTTTTTTATTTTGTTGAATGAATTCTTCAGCTCGGCAAGCTCTCCTACATTCTTTTTCAGGGCATTGATTTCCTTGTATATTTCTTCTTTTAGGTTCTGTATACTTTTCCTCATTTCATCGTG